CTTACAGCTATTTGAGTTCCTCTGCACTAATCTGACTTCTCAGTATTTACAATTTCGTATAACAAGCATGATCAAAAACTAATTCTAAGTCTCCAGAAATTCAGGATGTCAAAATGGGGTCATACAACATGTCATACGACTGGGGAACCACTAGTGGGAATTGTACTTTAGCCTCACTCCAAGGTCTAATTATTAGATAAAGTTGCTATATATTTAACAGTCAGATAGATTTTGTTTAAAAAGCTGTTATTAAAATGTTGCTTTTTGTGCCCTGGTGTATAATTTAGTATAATTTAGGAGACGAAACAACTGCTTTTCATAACCTTGTTTTTTGGGAGGAAGCCTAACATCATTTTTCGCTTTGCAACAGAGAAACCTAACAAAGGTGAAAATATGTTAGTACACCAATTCCACTCATTGCCTTTGTTCTTTTATTACTTTTTGGATGATCTTTTATATGTAAAACCAATCAACCTGAATCAGCCCTGACTTCTTTTTAAAATAAACCCGCTCTTTGAAGCTCCTTTCACATGTAAACAGACACAACAGTAAAATGATTAATGAACAAACTCGAGGAGAAAAAAAAAAAAAACCCACAACAGATTCCATTAAAAATAGACCCGAGTGTAGTGAACAAAAATAACTTTTAGCACCCCGGTGTCATCGACTGATTCGCCTTATCCTGAAAATAGCTCAGTTTTAGCCTAATTACTCATGTTCAGGTTTTGAAATCAACTACATGCTTTGATTACTTTTTTTTTTTTCTCTTATACTTGAAGAGAGCTCCAATCTTCTACTTTCACACTTCTGCCTGCAGATATTGATGGAGAAAAAAATTGCGTTATTGAGTTATCTTCCACTTTCTGTTAGACCTCTAACTTTTCCCAGTTTTTTCCGTTTGTTCAGGTGATTGTTCTGTCTGACTGATGGTCACCTCTCCGCAGAAATCAAATATCGGCTCCAAGCTTCAGCCCCTTCAAACTCATTTCACACTCGAAAATTGGGGGATAAAAGCAGAAATGTTGAGACTTTTTTGTTAGGCACTCTTGGCGTACCGGTTAGTTCATGTGCTTGTTTGAATCGTTTGAATTTGAACGTGCTTGTTTAAATTGTTTAACGCTTAGTTACTACGCCAACATTACCTACATCATGGTTAAATTTCACTAGCTATTTTTAGGTTAGGTTGATTTGAAGATAGCTTAAAGTTACCTAAATCTTGGCTAACCAAATGTCTAAATGTGTATTTATTGTGTTAAGGCACATGATGCGAGACAACACAAAAGACAATCTCTTGCGACCCAACTCAGGGTTGCGACCCAGTCTTTGGGAAACAATATTTTAGAGCAATATGTAGCATATATAAGCCCACCCTGGATATACAGTACAGCACTCTCTCCATCCCTCTGACTCCCCTTAACTCTTGACTCCACTCCTATTTTTACGCTCTGTCTGCCTCTTTATTCATCTTTCCCCTTGCATCGCTCTTCCACAAACGTGTTTTGAGAGTGAAGAAAAATCTGAAACTGCTTATTTAGGAGTGTGATGGATGTAGAGATGACTGAGAGAGTGAGGCGATACATTTTCTACCTGATGGTTCTGATACATTTACCCGATAGTAAGAGTCCATATCTTTGATGGACAGCAGTGCTTATAAGGTTGAACCTAATGTAATGTTTGTGCACTTGTAGCATACAGTATAGGATAAGACCATAAAAATTGTTTTACCGCCCACATTTTCAAACTCTAACACTGTTTACAGCATGTTTGCGCTAAAGACTTTAATTTCCCTGAACAGGTGCAGTACTTTACCACAGATCTGTGAATAACAGATTGAAAACTTGGACATCTTTGATCAAAACTTTCCTCTGAGGAGTATGTAGTGTGACTTTCAGATTAAGGTGCAACAGTTCCAAAACACTCTAGTTTACACTAATATACAAATGTGTGTCACTTTAATCCCGTGTTTCCCAACTATTTTTGAGCCAGGGCACATATATATATTAGAAAAAAAACCCCTCAGCACACCACCAAACAAAAATTACCGTAACAACCACGCTAAAACTCCCTGCGGGTGGTGAGTCCACTGGAAGGTACCAACCGCCCTAACCGGGATTCGATCTTGGAATCTTGGAATGCTATACCAAAGACAGCGACATTGCCTCTGGGCCAAAGCACCACTCAGAAAAAAAAACGTATATGTAATGAAATATAATAATCTTCTACTTTAAATGACCTCGTAATTGACTACAATCTCAGTCTGTTTAGATGAACACAACGCTGATATACTGGCAGGAATTGAAGAAAGGCACACACAAAGATCCTCTTCGACAGCTCTGATTATTTCTTTTAGTTTTAGTAGCCATCTGCTGCCACCTAGCAGAAGAGGATTTAATTGCTCTGCCTGTCACGCATTGACGAATAAAGAAAAAATATTTGCGATAAATAAAAAGTAGTTTTCGGACTAATTAAGTGACATTAGATAATTTTCCACGGCACAGTGGTTGGTAATCATTGCTCTAATCGCTTCTATCCTATCACGGAAGTGTTGAGAACGGTTGGCGCTGACGGTGGTGTTAGCACTCAGGTTATTTATTTTGATGAAAACAAAGAACAAAGTGATGTTTTTGCATGAACTTGTGTTGTGACTATTAAATCAAACACTTAGGCTGCATTAACACGAGGGCCATTGTACGGCGCCAAGCAGCAATTGCGCCCTAAACTGCTGACTCTAATGTGAGTGTGAGTGCAAACGCACACGACAAAGCATGGGTACTATGCGGTTGAAAGTGGTCAGCCAAAGCGTGGAACACGGGGCCAAACTTGAACGAATAAATGGCAATGACTTTAATCAATCAGATTTTGAGATAAAAAATACCCAGAGTTTCTAGCAGGCATAGAGATATGTGGGGGCGAATTGAGTGATTTAATTGGATGGTCAAAGAATGCACAGTTTTCGATCTTGGAAACTGTATCTATAGCTACATGCACACTCAAACACATTGTCTCCTCTGCATCTACTGCTCCAGGATCAAGCGGATTTCATTCATTTCATTTCTTTCATCATTAGCATTCATTTTGCATTTAATAATATTGTAATTGTATTGGGTTATTATTGATGCTTTTTGGTGTACAGTGGCTTCGTGGGTTCAGTTCTTTAGTAATGGCCTTATTACGGCTACATGAATTCTCTTGATTAACAACTTGTTATACTACATTTCTGCATAGTATTACTTGTTTCTACAGACATGATGTTATTAAGATGTGGATTTCTTCAGGCGGAATGGATCTGGAGGCCTAGATGAGTTGTTGAACTGGAAAACAGTTTAAGAACACAACCACAATAACGTTTTTTTAATTTAATTTCTTTTAAATTTAGTGGTTAAAAAACATAAAAGCCTGAAAAATCAAAGAGCCTCACCTCAATCCATTACACCTGACAGGAACAAGGAACCACCAGAGAAGATGTTTCATATTACTTTTATTCCTCCTTCCAAGAGAAAATGTAGTTTGTTTTGACAAATTTCACGGCTGCGGAGTCGAAAGAAGCAGCAGACATTTGTCAAGTGAAACAAAACTTTGGTTTTCATGCGCAAAATGATGAAACGTGATGAACATTCTTCGCTGTTGGACCTGAGTGATTGATCACTACAGGAATTTTCTCATTCCCACAGTAAATGATAGACTTAATGTCAGTGCTTGATAAGAACCTGTTTACCCTTCTAGAAAGGTCTTGTACCAAACAGTTCCGGGAACAATATTTACGTTAACGGCA